GCCATTTAAGGGCCGGCCAGTGGAGCTATCACTAGGGGGTAATGTAAACACTGCCTTTCCTCTGAAAAAACAGTGTTTACTGCAAAAACACTGAAGGGAATGATTCTACTCACCAGAACAAATACAACTAGAAAAGCTACAATTTCTAGGGAAATTGTATGAAGTGTTCTTGCCTCAACCAGTAGTCTACAACTGGAGTGGGCGGAGTAACTGTTATCATTTATATAGCACATTTAATTGCAACGTTGTTGCACAGTTACATTAAACCATACATTTATACATTAGCAGGTGTTCAAAAGGCCCTGTCTATGACATCACTTGCTGCTGCAGCCTGGCACAGGTCAGAGTATTTTGGCTGTTGCCAACTTCAAATGGTCGTATTTTAAAAACTGTACATCCTACAGCGAAGAGCTTTATATTGTGAGAATCACAAGACCCAGACCTATATTGTGATGAATAGTATGTCTCTGAAGTATTAAAAATGAAGGCACAGTCGCAGTTTAGAAATTGCCCTTCAAATTTGAGCTGGCTGGAGTGAAGTTTCAATAAATGTCAATGGATGTGTGAGTTGCAAACAAATGGTCATATTGTGAAAACTATCAGGACCATGGCTTAGCCGTGGACATTTCTAGTGGCAGCAGGGATAGCTGGACGTTTTGATATAAGATTTGTGTAGGTGGGCTTGAAAATGAGGGAGTGGCGGCAGTTTAGAAATCATGTCCTGATTTTTCAGCTTTTGTCAGCTCCCACTCTAGTTTTGAACATTTTGCCATTCATTCCTATGGGATCAATTTCGCCACAAGAACGACGATATTCCGTGAACCATTCGGCGAAACGTTCCACAAAGTAATAGCAATACGATCGGGAGCAATCTGCACGGTTTGGTTTATTTCTGTCTATGTAGTGTAAAAACTGTGGGAGGAGTTAGGGTGGTAAATTTGGCTATAATAAGAATAATATATATGTGAGATAACATTAAGTGGTCTTGCTATGCAAGAACACTTAATAAGCTGTAGTTATTTTGGTGAATATAGTGTCCCTTTAAAGTCACCCTCTAAGCAACAAAACAACTTTAGCGTAATATAGCAGTTTTAGTGTATAGATAATGTTTCTGCAGTCTTAGTGCTCAGTTCTCTGCAGCGACCACAGAACTGTCTCAAGGACGCCAGGGTCAATCTAGGAGTGGGTGAATAGCGATATGTTCCGTTCTCTGCAGCGACCACAGAACTGTCTCAAGGACGCCAGGGTCAATCTAGGAGTGGGTGAATAGCGATATGTTCCGTATCACTATGTATGTATATATATATATATGTCATGTCACACATCACCAGCATCTGTCAAATTGGACCTTGAGAAGACCTTCTTGGTCATAGAAATTCAAGAAGTCATCTTTCCTCAACTATCCCAGAGTTCCAAGCTTGGTATGCAAATGAGCACAGACAGGCATCGTGTTTCAGACTTGATAATGCATTTCTTCAGATCCCCTTATCAATGGACACTGGTTTAAATACAGCTTATTTAAAATCAAAACATGGGCTATGATAGAAAAAATAAATACACACGGTATTTCCTCACTGGTGCACAGCTTGTTTTGTTTCTATCATTAAAGGGACTCTATAGTCACCAGAACCACAACAGCTTAAAGGGCCACTATAGTGCCAGGAAAACATACTAGTTTTCCTGGCACTATAGTGCCCTGATGGTGCCCCCACCCTCAGGGTCCCCCTCCCGCCAGGCTGGATGGAGAGGAAGGGGTTAAACACTTACCTTTCTCCAGCGCCAGGCTCCCTCGGTGCTGGAGACTCTCCTCCTCTTTTCTCCGTCATCAGCTGAATGCGCATGCGCGGCAAGAGCGGAGCGCATTCAGCCAGTCCATAGGAAAGCATTCTCAATGCTTTGCTATGGACGCTGGTGTTTTCTCACTGTGAAAATTACAGTGAGACGCGCGGAAGCGCCTCTAGCGGCTGTCAATGAGACAGCCACTAGAGGCTGGATTAACCCTAAAGTAAACATAGCAGTTTCTCTGAAACTGCTATGTTTACAGCAGAAAGGGTTAATTCTAGGTGGACCTGGCACCCAGACCACTTCAGTAAGCTGAAGTGGTCTGGTGCCTATAGTGGTCCTTTAATGTAGTGGTTCAGATGTATACTGAACCTGTATTTTAATATAAACACTGTATTTTCAGAGAAAAGACAGGGCTTACAATGCTGGCTAGGGACACCTCTAGTGGCAGCTACTCAGACTGCCACTAGAAGTGCCTCCTGAGTCAGTGCTGCACAATGTGCAGCATTAATGTTTAGCGTTCGTCGCGCTCTATGCATAGAGATGCATTGAATACGAGGAGATGCAGATTGGCGCGCATGCACGATAGCCTTCTAATGGTTTCCCAATGAAAAGCATTGAATTGGCTGAGTTCATCAAGTTTGATTATCTTAGCCAAGGTGGTGGAGTGAGGGCAGAGCGATCCACAATGAAGCCTGTGTAAAGCTGGAAAAAGTTAAGTAAAAAAACCTTTTACCTTGCTGATGGTGGAGGGTGGGAGGGGGAGAGAGGACTATTAAATTTGTTGATTATTTTTTTTTACCTTGCAAGATGTTCGTATGTAATAAAAATGACAGTTGTTTTATGCAAATTCCATCATCCTTTGTCATATTTCTCCTCTGTGTAATAGAACACAGCAAGGAAACACAGGGAACATAGGTAGGGGATATCTATTTAAATTCTTATTGATTAAAAAGTGTACAAAAATATTGTTTTCTAAAAATACTACACTTTTTTTGGCCACACAAAAAATAAACACAATGATAACATTTTTAGTATGCATTATATTTTTTTTTTTACACCAAAACAACTTTAGTTTAATTATTTTTACATCTTCTGAAACAGGGGCAATGGAGGGGCGATTCTGTGGTAGAAAGAACACATATATTGAAATCTTTGTTCACACCATTGGTATACATCGTACTCAAATCATATATCAAATAGAGTGCTCTCTTTTTTAGCATTTTATGTCAGTCATCTCCATGTACGCCTTGTAGAATTTCTTCAGCAGCCTGTACCTTAAAGGAATACTCAATGAATAAAAAATAACTTTAGCTGTTGTACTTTAGCTTAATGAAGCCGTTTTTGTGCATAGGTCATGCCTTGGAAGTTCCACTGCTCAATTCCTTGCCATTTAGGAGTCAAATATTTGTGTATCTGTTTATGTAGCCCTAGCCACACCTTCCCTAGCTGTGACTCACACATGGAAATGTTTTTTTATTTTTTATTTCAATCAGATCTTATAGCACAGTGTGTTTACCTTGGACGTAATAGTCTCCTGCTCTGTTAGTTTAACTTTAGTAACACAAAGGAGACCCCTGTAGGCTCTTACAGGCTATTAACAGAGCAAGATATTAGAAATGTGTCTCTCTTTAAAAATGAAATCTCTTTTTACAGGAAGTGTGTAAAGTGGCTGTATTAGTCTCAGCTCAAGGAAGTGTTGCTATAGCTGAATAAATGTGTTTTCACACCTAAACGGAGAGGATTGAGCAGTGTAGCCAACCTTCAGAACTCCAGATGCTATGGACTACATCTCTCGTAATGCTCTTACAGTCATAATGCTGGCAAAGCATCAGGAGACATGTGGTCTACAATATCTTGAGTGCTGATGGTTGCCCATCCCTTCTAAGGGGAGTGAGCTATACACCAAAATAACTTAATTACACTAAATTTGGGTTTGAGCCTAGAGTATCCCTTTAACTGCGCTATACTGTATTTTCTCTCCAAGAAATGTAACAAATGTAACAGCTAGTAAATTATATATTCTATTTGGATGTACTTCACCGTAGACTACTTACCATTGACAGAGAGTTGGATTCCAGGTTTAACCTGAAAAAAGAGAAGAAATGTGATCAGAATTGCAGAAGTCTAAACTAAAAGAGGAGCATGATTAGTTGTTACAGCCACACCACTATCCACTTGCAACAGATTGAGGATTGTGTGAGCAGATTCTTCCCCAAATTGGAATTAGTAGAAACTCCAAAATAGCCAGTAGACTGTGAAACTCTATGTAGTTAAAGGGACACTCGAGACTCATAAAGCACTTCTGCTTGCTGAAAAGCTTCATGTGTGAAGAGTGTATCCTCTTTTTTTAATTTTGGAAAAAGTGTTGATTTTAATAGAAATTTACATTTGTAGATATTAAACTTGGCTTTCAATCAGCCAGTTGGTCCTGTTACTTCCTGGTTCGGTTAGCTTTGTTGCACTAAACTCAAGAGGCAACAATTATTTAGGGCACCTGCCTTGCAAAGACTTCTCATTGAGCTGTAATGGTAAGTCTGTGATTGGACAGCCACAGAAAGTCTGGGCGGGGTTAGAAGGGGAGGGCTTACAAAAGCAGCAGACAAGATTGTGCAGCTTTTACAAGCTGCTTTAGATATAACTCAAATGAAAAACTGCATAATCATATGAATGCACGTTGTTTTTTTGGGGGGGGGGTGCATATCTACTAAACATTGATTTTGATAATACTTTAAGAAGTCCAACTGATGGTTCTGCCTGACAAACGAGGGTGGAGATTTGTGAGAGACAGTGGCAAGCTTGTTCAAAATCTTGTTAAAAAACTGTATAAAATAGTATCAAATTTCAGTCATTTATGATAAAACCACAGAGTAAAGCAGGCTTACAATACAAAATTAACTCAAAATGCCTAGCGAGATTTATATGATCAATTGGTTATATATTTATATATAATGTAATATACATCAAGGCATCAGGGGTATGTGTGTGTGTGTCTTTATAATTGTCTAGACCTCAGGTATTACTTAACACCTCTGCTGCTGCAGAGCCCAGTAATCCGCTGCCTCTCAGTGGATTGCGGTTAATTAAAATTTTTGCTTGGCTGCTGTTGTAGCCGTTTCCTGCTTTATGTTATTATATAACACCGTGCCATCGTTTATAGACCAGAGACATGCAGAGGCATTGAGCATGCCCTGTTTAAATAGATCACAGATGTCTTTGTTCAGATCTATATCCTGTAATCACAGAATTTGTTGGCAGAGAAACCTTGTAAAAACTGGGTCAGTGTGTTGACAAACATATATCAAACTGTTGCTGTACACACTGATCTGTCTTTAGAATCCCTAAGCCTTATTTGCAAAGCAATGCTGGTAAAAGGGACAGTTTGAGCAGGGATGGAATGAGAGTGCTTTGAATGAAGAATGAGGAGGAACACCTGACAAGGGCTACAGGTAAATGTATTTGTGTGAATCTGCCTTTAGTGTATTGCATTCTGCGATTTACAAAGTATTATTTATGTTTTATGTTGTACTTATTTTATCTCGTTTTTTTTGGGAAAAGTAAAAATAGCATATTCAAGTTTGAATTAATTATGTATCATCCCGATTTAAAAAGCCAAAATAAAAAAGATTAAATAATTTTTGTAGATTAAATTCTATTTATTACATACAGCATATGATTAACTGTTTTTGTTTTGTTTTTTTACCAGTGTTAAATCCTCCTTGAACTCGTCTAATTGAAACTTGTGTTAATAAGATTTGTCCAAACTGGGCATTAAAGAGGTAATAAATTCTGGCAAACTATCCAACACTTGCAAATCCAACATACCAATGTAATATTATTATCACAGTGGATCATGGGAAACTTAAATTAAGTAATATGAAAAGTCCTGCTTTTGGCTTTTCAAAAATGTCAAAGTGTAGTTTTATTACTCAACAAATTAAATATTGGGCTATTGTTAAAAAGACATTGAAACGAAACATGGAAATAACTGGTAGTTTAATTTAATTTATTATATTTTTTATCTTAGAGGTGAAAGTCTTCTTCTTCTCACGATGCTGGGGATGACATACTACTCGCTGCTTTGGTGGCAACACAAGTCCTGCATGGCCAATAGGATGTGAGTATTACATGAGGTTTTATTCTTATGGTACAGTTAGAGAACCCACACATCTTTAAACTACATCCATCATCCAGAATGTACTTTTCTGGGTAATTCTTTTTTCTGGGTTCATCACTCATATTTCTTTAATTTCCATAACATTTTCACTTAATTCACTTTTTTTCCATCTCATCTTTGTCCTTTGTTTCTTTTGTCTATCTCCATATGTGTCTATCGAATATTTTTCCGCCAATGTGTCTTTTTTGCTTCCTACGTGCGTCTCTAAACTATTTCCCATCTCAGTATCCAGTGCTGGATTACTCATGTAGTGGGCATAGGTGACTGCCGAGGGGACAGACAGGGGCCTGGACTTGGAGTTCAGGCACTGTTTTGAGGGGGCCCTATCTGAACTGGCCCGGGAGATCAATATATCTTGCTGTTTGGCCCTGTAGACCCTTGCTTCATCATGGAAGCATTGTGGTGTGCACCTCTATTGTACACCACAATTAATCTAACTTCATACCTCACGTCTTTGCCATATTTTCCCCATGTAAGCTGATACTGCTCTCACTCCTATTGGATACATTGAAACTAATCCATCTGATGTGAATGAAGGAGTTGGACACTATGATGACACACTGCACATTACTATATTTTAGGAAATGAAAACAGAGTTTACTTACTTTCTTTTCTTAAGTTACTTTAGCTGCAGCAGAGCAAATACTTTAATGTTAGAATGGGAAAAAACAGAATAGATTAAAATAGCATTTGTATGTATTTTAAATAGTATATCTAAAATATAGAAATATCTGGAGAGACTATAAAACTGTGATCTGTCTATCTATCTGTCTGTCCATCTGCCAGTTTCTCTGTCTGTCTGTCTATCTATTTATTGTTCAGGGGCTCAAATCTAAGGCAGAACTGGGACATACATATATTAATCTGTCTAAGATTAATGGGAGTTACATTCCTGAGTTGCAGCTGCCACCACTTTAATTCAACTTGTTCCCAGATGGGTGATGTGGCAGACCCATTTGCCAAACATGCTTCCTAGCTATCGCCGGGACACCATCAGCACTTCAGCCCCTAGCTGCCGCAGCTTGGCTGGGGTCTCGCCGTTGCTTCCCACCCTGGCACAGGGTCCTGGATCCAGCTTCTAGAAATCAAAGCTCTCCAGCAGAGAGTATAGCTGTTATAGCATTCTCCCCACACATTAGCCGAGACTTAATGGTGGGAGTAGATCTGTTTAATGCAGGCAAGCATTCACAATTTAAACACACAGTAAACTCCTCCCCTGTGTCTGAGAGATAATTGCGTCAGGAACTGTACAAACACAATTATCTCCAGGTAAAGAAAAGTATAACAATTTTTAAACATACCAAACATACCCAAAATACATTTAACACTCCACAAAAGACACACCCCCCGATAGCTCTGATCTGAGTACCTAACATCCGAAAAGCACTCAGATCGGTTCGGTGGTTTGGATTTTCCATCGAGGTAGACTTTTGACCGACCGCACACGTGGCTTCTGCCCAAAATAGTTCCATAAGAAAAGTGTTAGTGGTCGGTCACTTTTGGGAGTCCAAAACCAAATGAAATGCCAAACTAATCTTTTGGCTCCAAGGTAGCGATTGTTCGCCTAGTTCATGGGAACAATCCTACCGAATGGTGCTCTCCTGACATGAGTAAACACGAAGCAGGCGTTCATCAAATTTCAGCGGTGTTCGCGAGCTAGAGTGTCCGATTTTAGTCCATACACTTGATGACCAAACACCGCTGCCTGCATTTGTGCGACTATATATATTTATTTATTAATTTATAAAATATTTTACCAGGAAAGATACATTGAGATTTCTCTCATTTTCAAGTATGTCCTGGGCCACCAACTCAGTTCCCACATGTTCTTGCATACAAACGGCAGCCACCCAGCAGAACCCTTATGATACATAGTGTGAAATCGATGATGGAGGTGTCAGGAGAGGTTATAGGAGTTAACAAACCCAGAGGTGGTCAGAAATTTGGTTCTCAAACTAAAAAGGGAAACCACACGAACCAAGTCTTTTAAAGGTCAGTTACATGGCCCATAGCCCTTGGGCAGGAGGATAGCCAGCAGGCTTCTCCAGGAGAGACATAGCAGAGACATTTTTGCCACAGGTGACACTAGGAATGGCTGCCTCCTGGGACAGTAATAATTGTACTAATGTCTATCCAAATGATGCTCTAAACATACATAACTCCCCTTGAAGCAGCTCTGTCATTTTACATGTTGCTTTTTGTCCCTTTAGGCTGCTCTTTGTTTGTTGTTTTAATAAAGCAAAATATTCCTTAAAAAGTTATACATAAGGAAGTGCCAGGACTACTTTTACTTTTGTAAAAACGGCCAGTTGAAAAAAGTTGACAAAAGAGTTTCAGTCTAGTTCTGTGTCATTTGTCACCTCTGCCATTGGATATCAAGCTCTCTGCTTATCTCCCACATCAGTGAGTCACACATGTATTGCAATCCTCCATATATTCTATGCAATGTTTAGAGCACCACAAATGACCATTGAATTACAAATTACATGAAGGGCAGAGGAGACAAGTTCCGGAGTGGACCTGGAAGAATTTCAAAGAGGGCAGTACGGTGAATATAGACCCAGTGAGGCCGGCAGGTTATTACAAACCTGGCTGAGATCGCATGTGCTAGTGTCCATGTGCGGCAGAATGCTGCTGTGTGCCAATAAATGGTCTCTATGAGACCATCCGATGGAACACCTGAGCTTAACTTGGCAATTGGGTTGGAAGCGCCTCTATTGGCTGTCAGTGTGTTCCTGCAGAACGTCAATGTTTTCAGTTGCAGGGTTAAAACTACTGGGACATTGCATTCATTGAGAAGTTGTCTGGATGCCCATAGTGTCCTTTTTTAATATTTAATATATTATTATTGTTTCCTTGTGCTTCTGGAGCCTATTGCTATCGTAAGGGTCCATGTACCAGAAAAACTATATGTAATTAAAATATAATAAATGTAAAATGACTAATACTACGTATATTAATGGCAACGTCTCCTTAACTGCATAAAAAGCACTGGATAACTAGCCACATGCGAGAAATGTCAGCCTACACACTATGACTTCACCAACCGTCTTAAAATAAAACATGAAATCTGCTAGGCAGTCTCAGCCATTTCTTGCATTCTAAGAATACCATACCGCCAGTAACACAGACAGATGGCTCCAATATATTTCTCTGCTCTAAAAAAAAAACAAAAAAACACACACACATGGATATGTCTCTCTATGATAAGATGAATATTGACGAACTCCCTTGCTGTAAGTGATGATTAATAACAAACGGTAACTAGGTGGATTTAGTGAATCATTTGTCACGTACCTTGAGATTTTTTGGAATTAACTTCGTATGAACTTTTCATTGTCTGTGGTGGGTGTTTGATGTGATACACATTTCTCCTGTTCGTAGCAATATATCACGTTTATAGAAATGCTGCTAGTGCTTCATGCATTTTAACTTATTTAGAGTAAGGGGGATGAAAAATACCCCGTTGCACTAAAACATTTGTAAATCTTTAGCTAGATTTAAATGTGTAACAAATATTTTTTGTGCTACAAACATAAGAATCAACCTAAATAATATGTAGCAAACTGACAATCCAGTTTCCTAATACTGTAGTAAAAACATTAGCCTTAATGGGACATTCCGTGTGCCATGAGTTATCAAGCAACTGAATGCCAGTTGAAAACATTTTGCAAAATATAAAAATACCCTCTGCCTTGCACACCAACCTCTCTGTCACACCTTGCCAATTTATGTAAATTGTTTAAACAGCTGTGTTGTATTGTAAGAGCATGCTTGTACCCATCGCAGTATGAGTATATAATGTACTATGGTGTAGAAACAAACCAGACTCTAGTACAGAAACTGTGTGTACGTAGCTGTTCTTTTGTATAGTAGCTATGCTGCTGGTATTTTCACTCATTGCAAAATTCGCAGGAAGCTACAGTCAGCTGCTATAACGTTGCACTGGTTACGCACACAGCTCACAAGTGTCTCAACTTTGTTAAAACTACTTTGTTAAAACTACTTTTCCCACAAGGCCTTCAGATGGCAGTGAACTTATATCATAACTCCCAACAATTTGGAGGGAAGAATCAGGATGTGGTAGACGGGGCCCTGAGGGGGCATCACCAATGAAGCAACCAGCATCACTAGCAATGCCCATAATAGGTGGGACTGCCCATAAAAGTGGCATCCGGCCTGGCCACTAAAAGCCTGCCTGACCACTGAAAGCCTGCCTGACCAGTCCCTAGCTTTCAGGACTTTGCAGGGAGCCCTTCTTGTTGCATGGTCCCAGTGGTACTTGAATTTGAGCTATATTTGCCTATATTTATATGTAGCCACTTGACATTTAGCTAACTCAAAATGTATTGGTGTCCTTTGATATTTACTATGAATAGACATCTATTCTATATCTATTTAGAGTTAATTGGTTGCTATAGTTTTATCATCAATGCATTACTTCTCATTTGAACAAGTGCGATCAATACTGACTCTGAACACAGGAACACTACTATTATTTCTTCATTAACTAAATACAATATATATATATATATATACTAAATTAAAATGTTTACACTCAGATAATTAAAAACTATTTACATGCTATTACCTAATTAACTTTAATAATAGTCCCAACAGTTCAAGTCCTTATTCCCACCACATTGTCCTCCATTTTCAGTTCCCAAAATAAAAGGCCAATCTTTTAATTCCTATCTCTCATATCTCCCTTACCCTTACCATCCCAAAAATAAGTAGTAAGAGGAAGGGATGAGCCTAACGATTCCACCCATTCGCACCTTGACATAGATGCCACCAGTGGTCCCAGCAATGCTGCCAATGTGTCCTCTAGATCAGTGTTTCCCAACCCAGTCCTCAAGGCACACCTACCAGTCCAGGATTTAGGGATTACCCAGTTGTGTCTAAGGTGTTTTTTTTCTTCTTTGTAAAAACACCTTAGACACAACTGGGTAATCCCTAAATCTTGGACTGGTAGGTGTGCCTTGAGGACTGGGTTGGGAAACACTGCTCTAGATGTTACAATGTCACTGCCCCTGCTATGTCATCTCTTTCATAAGACTCAGCATTGTTCATAGTCAGTTCATATGTGTCTAGTAGGGCAGCTAGTTCATCAGGACATCCAACTGGGTACATGTTGGGCTCCCCACACAGCTCTTCAACACTGTGGAGCCCATTACAATTGATTGCTAACCGCAAGTGTAGTGCAAATGCGCAGTGTGCCTATTATACTGTCCAGTTGTGATTGCCATTGCAACAACATAGAAGACAAACTTTTTAGTGTGATACCCACCGGTAAAACACAAATAGCTATTTTAAGATTAGATTATAATAGGGGTAGACCAGAAAACATGGACTAGAAGGTTGGAAATCTATTTCGTGGCTGCAAATGTCTACTGGCCGTTGTTAACAAGGCATTTACTGACAATATTATAGCCCTATGTTTCCACAGCAATGTTTCAAGAAATGTTTCTACACATTTCTTTTTTACAAAGTTTCCATAATCTTTGCCTTGATTTACATCATTACATGTTGTCGAGGTCCAAGATTGGACACCTCTGCTTTAGATGAAGCTAGTTTTTGCCAAATTATATTTCTCCCGGGCTGTAAAATGAGTTTTAATGCATCCTTGAATCCTCCAAACAGACATTAATTATGTCAAGAAAATAAAAGGCTGCACATGTAAACAGGTATTCATGTTTGGCTTATAGTATATTAATATGCATTTAACCCTCTGGTAATTCTTTGCATTTAGTCCTATAATACCACAGGGGGTACTGATGCATTTGGTATTTATTTTCAAAGACCCGTTTTTTGGCAGGGTGGCTGTGCAATTACATAGTACAGTATTCATCGCTGGATATTTGTCACATGCATGCCAGTCCTTCTTTTCCCTGTAATATTTTGGAAATGAGATGAAGATAAGTGATTTCAATTTTCGAGCAGTAGATGTTTCTATCATCAAGAGACAAAAACTAAATTAGCAATCACAGAGGAAGCCAGTGTAGCATCTGCCTTGGTATTAATCTGGCAACCAGCTTGAGAACACACAGAAGACATCTCTACATCATTACACTGTGAAATTTGAATTCTAGAATGTTAGTATCTTAGCTCCACGCTGAAGTCTTGATACCTTTAATGGTGAGATATTAAGATGCGGAATCGTTAAAAGAGGACCTCATGTGAAAAACTTTATCCTGCATAATTACTACAATATTATAAATGGAGATTGGAATATCTGCTGCCCTAAAGGAGATACCGGAGACAATTAACACTATTCACCTCAATGCCTGTGCATTTAGTTTGTTAAATTAGCATTTTTGCCTGCAGTCGGACATCTCAACCTCTCATTATCTCATTACGTCTCATTGTACCGTCTATGAACATGAACTAGGCTCCAAAAATGTTTTATTGCTTCTAAGAACTATGTGCAAAGATATCATGCTATAACCATGCAGTCATTGTACATAATTTAATTTTTATTAGTGGGTCATGTTTATTAAGGAATTAAATGATGAAACAATAATGAAAAAAATCCTTAACATTGATCTGAATTGTTTTGGGAAATATGTCTACCATCATGGGTGAAGCTACCGAGAGGAGCAAGGACAAGAGAACAGGACAGACAAGTGAACAAATGTCATGGGAATATAAACAGATAAAGCAAGTCATAAAATGTACTGTTTTTTCTTTTATGATACAGTTCTATGCCAAAGTTTGAGCAAAATTGGGCCGTTCGGTGTACTTCAAAATATAAATATTATGTTAATATTGTCTACAACACTGATAGGAGTATTTTCTCAGAATTTGGTTCACATATCAGTTGGGAAAAGGTATCATAATTCTTGCTGTTTTTGGTTTCCACGTACCAAAATGTCCAAATAGATGTTAAAAGGAGCTGCTAAAGTCAAGGCAACAACTGGAAGAGCAAATAGAAACTCCAGTAGAACTGCTTGTAAACAGAAAAACAAAACTCCAATTAAAAGATAAATGGCACGTTTGGAGAAAAAAACAAGGATACAATAGACAAAAACTAAGAAAAGAAAACCTTGTAAGCTAACCCTCAAACATTGAGGTGACTCTATTATAGTTCAGGTTTGTATTGCTGCTGGCACAAGAAATATTGCCGAGGTCGAGTGAAAAATTGAATCTACTATATATCAACAGTACCTTGAACGTAATGTTCCACAGTCAGTGTAATAAACTGAAGGTGAAAATAGGTTGGATCTTCCAACAAAGCAACGATACAAAACAAAACTTATAACCAACCATGAACTACTTGTATCTTCCAACAAAACAACGATACAAAACAAAATCTATAACCAACCATGAACTACTTGTATCTTCCAACAAAGCAACGATACAAAACAAAACCTATAACCAACCATGAACTACTTGTATCTTCCAACAAAACAACGATACAAAACAAAACCTATAACCAACCATGAACTACTTGTATCTTCCAACAAAACAACGATACAAAACAAAACTTATAGCCAACCACGAACTACTTATATCTTCCAACAAAACAACAATACAAAACAAAACCTATAACCAACCATGAACTACTTGTATCTTCCAACAAAACAACGATACAAAACAAAACTTATAACCAACCACGAACTACTTGTATCTTCCAACAAAACAACGATACAAAACAAAACTTATAGCCAACTATGAACTTCTTTAGAAAACTAAGATTAAGGTTTCCGAAAAGGCCTTCACTGCTCCTAGACTTGAATATTATTGAAAAAACAATTCATTAGATACAACCAAAGTATGTTTCTACATACTAAACTATATATTGCTGCTGTCTTTTGTTTTGCATAACAATACTCTGCTGAAGGCCTATACTTGTTCAGAAAGGCAGTTATGTATCCCGAGGCTGGGATTATTCCACCCACGTTTGACACAAAGCTCTAGTAAATGTAAGTGATTTTCCACATTCACCTTTTCCAGATTTCCAGCTATACTCCACCACTGGATTTCTTTCTCGGGTTTTTTCAAACTCACCCGCATGGAACGCAACCACCATTTTTTGAGAATCTGGTATTTGTACATGTCATATATTCTGTTCTTTTTTTTTTACATTCAGTTACATTTAGCAAATACAAAGTAATTGTGCAATACATATGCAAAATTATGTAGTGGGGTGTTTCACTGAAAGGAGAGTTTTAACTTTTATTGTGTTTTGACTTTTAATGTTATCGCAGTTTTTAAACTTTTACATGCAACTTTATTAGAAAAAATGCTATCACCACAAAATTGAACGTGTGAATAGTGGGAAAAGTATGTCATATACTTATTTAATATTAAACAGGAAAGCCTCCCACTGATCACCTCCCATATGGTAATCTCACATCAACCAGAAGCGAAACAACAAAAACATGAATGGGATACGGCTGTATATTCTGAAAGGGAACATTAAATGGAAATAGTGTAATACAGTTAAGAGTTATATAGATGCGCTGTTACTCAATGCACTCACAGAATGTAGGTGTTAAAATTGCTCAAAGGGTGCGTCCCCCGATGGTGATGGGGGGCTATCAACCCATGCCTCAGTCCAGGTATATTGTTTGAAAGCAGGACTCCAGGTGAAAGGAAAATTTTATTATAAATAAAAGGTGAACAATCGCCAATGTAATAAAATGCAAGGTACAAGGTACGGTCCTACGTGTTTCGTACAAAATAAAATAAAGCTATTAGCTTGTTCCAAATCTAGGAATCTTTACTGACCTGTGATAAATTAATAACGGCTTTTTAAAATTCAGGTGAATGAAGCACCTCAGTAAAAACATCACTTAAAGAGAGAGGTGGTATTATTTATGGAAATTGCAAACATCATGCGGGGGAAAATACCAAGAGGAGCAAGGACAAGAGAACAGAGCGGACACGTGAAGGAATCTTATAGAAAAAGCAAGTCATGAAATGTATTCTGTTATTTCCTTCATGATGTTACAGTTATCTGCAAAAGTGTGAGCACCCCTGGCAAGATAGCATTGTCCTGCTTGTTTTCAAGTCAAAGTAAGTTAACAAAAACTCTACAATGAACACTTATAAACATAATGTAATGTATTTCAGCAAACTATAATGGGCAGCTATCATTAGACCTGCACACAACAGAAAAATCGAATTCCTTGGAAACACTTTGTTAAAAAAAAAAAAAGTTTCAGGTAGTCAGATAGTCAACTCCAAGGCGGCTATTTACTAACCCGAGAACGTTTTATAGTCAGTCACATTGATTGATTGTGCAATTCACAACACACCAAAAAGACTTTCTTCTTTAATTACTGAGTTTAAAGGGAATTTATTGGCTAATTGTTAACTTTTCAATATATTGTACAATTCAGAAGAGGTCAGCTCAAGTAGGATCCTAGAAGCCTTCTATTATTCACACCGTGCACAAAATGAATAAGGAAAACATATTGCATAAAGCAGTCTTGGTCCTTTATCTTGGCGAAGATTGCTAATTAGAAAATCAGCGCCAAACTTACTTTATTTAAAAAAAGCCTGATTGCTTCAGTAAATAAATACAAACTCAAGCAGGTGTCCTTAAGACAACTGGTCTACTAAGAAGCAACTGCATGGCAGTGGTGTTTGGGGGATGGAAGAATAGTTGAAAAACAAATACACGTCTCCTGGGCTAGTCTACCTTTTCTTTAAACTTTAATATAATCCTGTATGGTTAGTTAGGAATTAATACAGAGATTGGAGATGGTATTCAGAAGGCACCTCTCTGTTTCTCCATCCTTTGCCAGCAGCCAGTGCTTGAGTGATCCCTAATCCCTCTAGTACAAAAAAAGATCTACTTGCCTCTCTACCAATCTGCCCCAGAAAATTATTATTATTTTATATATATATATATATATATATATAAAACTTCTATTTTTGTGAGACTATGATTTTTGTCTCCTGAAAGAGTTATATCTATAAATACCTATTTTTTTTTTTCTTCTGACAGCCTTTCATCCGCATGATCAGTGGAAAAATATATAAAAATACGCTTCAATTTTTTTTTATTTTCTTTGTAAATTGCAGCTTTTACTCATTCCTGTGCGCAATGTAAAAAATTTGACAGTTCATTTCTTTCTAAAAACGAGGTATTTAGTTCTCTAGCAATCTTTTGTTGCAGAATGTTTCAGGTTAACATTATTCACGTCTCTTTTTATTCCATTTCAAAGGAACAGAATTTTTATATATCTATTTGAAATTTAACAGTGTTAAAGCATTAGTCAGACTAAAAAAAGGGTATGATCTGGAAGAAAGAATAGTCTCTCTTAGCATATTATATACCGAACAAAAACAAGGACCTGGTTTGCCAAACAGTGAAAAATGTAACAAATGTTTTGATAACAATTTTATAAAGACTTTAATCAATCATGACTTGAGTTGACTCAAGTTTAAAACATGGACGATATGACTAGTCAACTGATCACTGGAGTAAAATGTCATTGGTTGTAAAGTAGTAACAATTTGTGGAAAAACAAGCATCGTTTGTGAATCAAGACTTCCAAGAAAGGCTTGGAAATGGAGATAGGATTTAGTCAAAGCATTATAAGAAGCTCAATGTAGAAATGAAAAGGTTTTATTGGCACCAAGGCCAAAATACAACAGGGAGGAATCACAAAATGTCCTAATGCATTTCGGAACCTTAAGTCCTTCATCATAGGACTATGGAAGACAGGGTCCCTGAATGTTTGTAGTATCAGCGAGGTTAACAAAAAATACATTCTTGGTTGTTTATATCCAGAAGTCGGGGAGAAGGGTAGGAGGGAGTTTAAAAACAAAACAAAAAAACTGTGGAATAGAGGGAGATGAAATGGAGTACAGAGAGAGTAAGAGTTGCCCTGTCTGCAAGGGTGGAATTTCTACGTCTGTTCTCAGAGTGCAGTTCTGGACTGCAAATGCCACGTGTGCTGGGAGAACAACTAGACCCAGCACACAATTAAAAATATCTCTGTATATTGCACCTACTGGCTCCCACCACCATGACCACTTCAGTTCACTGAAATGGTCATGGTGGTTTGAGTAACTCTTTAAATCTGTAAATGCATTATGTAGGGTTGTTGTCCAGTCAGATGCATGGGTCAGGGCAGAAAGAGAGAATATATACTCCAGTTGACAAATCGGGGGTCTGTAATATAGAGGGAAAAGTGTATCTCTGTGTGTCCTATATGTCTCCTGGTTTTCATAGCCTCCTCTATGCTAACTTTCTGGTTCCTGACGCAATTTTATTTTGCTAAATTCCTGATTCAGATTTTCATTTTTGTTTTTAATGAATGGAGCTTTTTGGAATGGGTTTAAACATTTTCATTACATCAGTTGCCTTTATTCTTTAATCAATATGGAAAGTTGAAAACGATCAGTTTTTAGACAGTCACGGATATATTCTCGTTTACCATAACATAATGTCACTCTGTCCAACCAGTAAATCTGCAGTTTACACATGGCTAAACACATTGGACATCCCAGCATATATTCCTATTTCAGATGGTGCAGGGAGTAAGAGATCCACAGTCTTCCTTCAAAAATCATCAAATAGCAAAAGACTCTAGCGTAAATGTAAATTCTAACAGGATGCACGGGTTTGTTAGTGCAATACCAGGTACAAAGAGGTGAGCAACATTTTGATCATGTGACTTTCATTTGGTTTATATCTAATAAAGATCACCTGACCAAAACGGTATAGTTTGCTAACCCTTCACCCCCACCATCCCTGGAGTAAAGTATCATTGTGCTGGAGTATTTTTTGCTATTTCTGCCATTTTTACTAATCAGCCGCCATGCAAACGTGTTTGTCCTTAAAATTTATCCCGACATTATATCATTCTGAGAACTTTATCCACTAGCACATATTATTTGTTATTAATAAGTCCTATTTTCATAAATTTCAGCCACAGCATATCGAGGACCTGTGGATTGAAAAGGAATTACATTATAAGTCACCTTGCAGCAGAATCTAAATGTGACCGAGAAAAGCTATCACAAACCATCTCAGAAATTAATTCTGATTACCAATCAGTCCATGTCCAGTGATGAATGATTGGATCTCCATCTGCAGTGACAGCTAACACACTATTTAAGCATCACAGCATTATAAAATTAGCTTTTTTTCACTCCTTTGAATTTGATTTAAATAGCAGAAGGGTCATTTTTTCACTTGGCAAAAAAATGTTTTCGCATTAGGTGCTAGTAAGACCTGTGGAAAAGATTAACTATATGTATTTATAAATGTATATGTTTTTATATACACAGCTTGCCACAGCTAAAGGGCAATGAGATTTACTGGAACAACCCGGCAGATATTACTCAGAGGTAATTATTCTGTTACAGGTAAAACATCATTTTAAAGACAAACATTTCACTGTCTAGCAAGTTATTCACTAAAATGAGAGTTTAGAGTGGATTTGTGGTGAATTTCAAATTTAATGCCAAATCAAACAAACTGGAAGCACAGATGGCTTTGAAAATGTTTCAAATTAGACTATTTTTACCTTAAATTTGACGTCTACTCTGAATTCACTTTGAATTTTCAGTTTAGTGAATAACTCTGTAGATCTACTTTTTGTGTGAGATTTCACTCTCTCTTTTAAAGGATAACTATTTAGACAGAAGTTGCGAATCTGCAGGTAAAGGGGACACAACACACCATGCCCATGTATGTTTATTTATGAACTTTCTTAATTTTCCATCTAATGTCAAGGAGGCCATTCATCACCCTTCACAAAGCATACGGGATTCTGTAATTATATATAGTGAAGTGGGTGCACTTTGAATTGAATGGGGGACAGTTGGGCACAGTTATACTGCTAATGGCCTGATAAAGTGTCGGTTGATTGTGGCAGTACTATACTGGAGGAGGGCAGCATACTTCTCAGCTTTGGGAGGTATTGAAATGGGCCAAGCATGGACACGGTGAGACAGCCCATAACAGTCATGGATTGAATGCCATTGGTTTCCTGATTGACAGTCATGAGGGTATAAAGTAAAAAATACGGGAATCTGTTAGCTCCTAGAGCACGTCAGCAAGCTAAAGAGCTGTGGGGGTTTGAGGAGTCCCTTTAATGCATTTGTCCATTTTACCTCCAGAGGGATTAAACAGTGAGGAAAGTCATTAGGCCACACAGAGGAGCTGAAAAAAGCTCATATTTTGACATCAACATTCCATAACAGATAAAAACCATATTACTTGGAAATGAACAGAAACTATTTGGGTTGACTCGTCATTGAAAAACTGAAATTTTGTTGCAAATTGGTAATTATAGAACACTAAGCAAAACCAATATCATCGCTTTATTTAATATAGCATATTATGATGGAGAGTGACCTGATATCACCACCAAAGCCATCTCACTGGGCCTACAGTATAGGCAAATGACAACAGGGTAGAATGGATGTAGATATAAACACTTACACAGGTAAGAGTAGCAACTGTTTGCTAAGCAACAGCATTTCTCCGATGATGGGAGACGTGCACTTACCAACAACAATGGGAAAAATAACTATCCTGAATGTAAAGTAAATGATTGCGGCAATAATTGTACCTTGTTTTTCTTCTACACATTTTTACTTCAAAGTACATCATCCGCAAGAAGTGATAAAATGACAAGTGTAAATTATTATCTTGACATCGTTTTGTGAGTATATGAGCAATGATGAAAAGTACTAGTAATTTATCATTTTAGTAATATATAACTACTAGTGCTAAGAAGACTCTCCTGGCACCATAACCACTACAGAGCAATGGTGATTAGTGTGTTCCTTTGATTAAACAATAAATTAAATGAAATAGCCTATTTATATAATAAATATGGTATCATGATCCATAAACAAATGTAATCATTTATATTTCTACAAAACCAAGGAGTGCATGAAGAGTTAGAACCAGTATAACATTCACAAGGTAAAAAAATTAAATGCAATTTCTCCCCCCCCCCCAAAAAAAAACATTTTTGGGTAGAAATAATAAAAGTATAAAAATAACATAAATATGGATCTCTTTTCTTTGTTTTGCTTGTTTTCTGTTCTTGTATTGCATCTTTGATACATGTGTAAAAATGTCTTTGTCATCATTTAGTGTTTGCAATACATTTTATGGTGTCACTACGCCAAATGCTTGCGCAAAGTAAAAATTGCTCCTGTCCAATTCATTCCCATTATGAATAAGTCTATGTAGATTACTCACATTTCCTTTTGAAAAGTTGCCTACGTTTTACTTTATCTCAGCCCATGAGAATAATTCAAAAAAAGATTCTAAGTGCAACATTTAATGTAAAGGCCAACCCTGAGTGACTAAGGAGGGGACGCATGACTGCTGCTTGAAGTGGTTGGCATGGTAACCAAATTGGTTACAATGTTGGGTCTAGGACTAAGTACCAGGAATCCTGGGAAAACTTACCAGACCACTAGAGCCGAGGGATCCTGGTGGTGCAATTTCCTGCCCTCCCTCCCTCTTGGTAGGATGGAGAGGACTTGATTGCTTGTTGTTTTGTTTGTGTGTTTGTTTGTTTTTTATCTTTGTCATAGCTTCGGGTTCCTGCGCCAGCAAAACTTTGAGGAACACTGTCCGGACTGGCTTAGGGAGTCGCACCTGATTTGGTGGAGAACATTTAATAGCCCGATGAGGCACTGGATAAATGTTTAACGTGAGCTGTCTGCTCTGTCAAACCAGCAGCTGCCAGTGGATTGTTTTGGCTGGTTGTTAATGAAAATAAAGCTGTGGCCATTGCTCTTACCCGCTAAAAATGTTGTTGTGTAATTTATTTGTTTGAAAGGGTTATGGTATACGGAGGAGTCAGCAGTCAAGGGCCTTAGATAAAGTTCAGCCAAGTAAGCAGATCATATTTAGGCTCATTATGAGCCTTCTCTACGAATCCTTTGCTCCATTTGGTATTGTGCGATTTGGAGTTTAATGCATTACCCTGGTTTTTATAAATGAATATAATATTTGGCATAAATATTTTGGGGTGGATACACAATATTAGAGATAATGAGATAGGATATGTTCCATCTTGCAATACATTTCAGAAAAAATTGTGCAAAAAATTGATATCCAAACAGTTAACATATTGCTTTAAGTGGTTTAAATTTAGGACTGTTGTAATCCTTTAGGCATGTATAATATAGTTGCTCCTGTAGTTATACCGGTTTGAATACCCACACATTTATATACAGAGCTCATGACAATACAATAATCTAGCAGAGCATTATTTATAAAGAGTGTTTGTTTAGTGAATTAATGAGATTTAAAGCGACAATGGTTTCAGCTACAAAGAGGAGATCAGAAATGGTTGTGAGCCTCCCTGAAAGGCCTTTTTAAGAAAAACCTATTTTATACTGCTGAGAACCAGTGCCATTTAAAAGGAAATAAAAGAAGAATAATAATATCCCTCGGCTCCGTCCATGCTCCTAATGCGCATGCACAGCAATGGCCATGCTCGCATTTGGATCTCTTGGATGCATAGCTTGAGGATTTCCAGCATCGTTTAGACAACCAAAAGTCATCTAAGAAGTTGGAAGTCCCTCTAGTGGCTATCTGGTAGACAGACACTAGAGGTGAAGTTAACCCTAGCAGGTAAGTATTCCAGTTTTTATAAATATTTTTATAGTTTTATAAGTTTTTATAACTACCACTCTAGGGATTAGGGTGATGGGAGTTGGCATCCAGAGCACTTCAACGAGCTGAAGTGGTCTGGGTGCCTGCAGTGTACCTTTAAGGTAGCAAAATGAACCATGGGTGACTTGAAGATGTAAACATGAGAGCAGAGGGATGAAAATAGTTCTGGTGATCTATAGAACACTCAGGAAGCGTAACTGAATACGACAAAAGATTTATTGCTCAGTTTGATGATCACTACACAGTAATAGTCCCACTGGCTATTTTTACTGAACTGCAGTCTCCTCCAGTACTGCTAGAGTTAAAGATGAAATACCAGATAGAATGACTACGTCAAAAGACAGAAATAAACCTTGAAGTTAGAGATTTGGAAACCTGTTACTGTATGTGACACAATATAATGTAAGAGACGTAGTTATATATCTTCAATCAAAAAGAGAGCGCATGTATTACAAATAAAAGACTTGCGTAATAGTCTATATATGGTCTAAATAAAACAATAAAAATAGTACCCAATGTACTCAAACAGTAATAGCTGCTAAAACAAAAAAGAATTTTCCCAATTCCAAAGAACAAATGCAAATATGGATTTCAGCGCTAAGTAGATAATCCCCTTAAAAGTAAAAAAGGTGCATACATATGCAAAAATGAAAAAATCATACAGAAAAAAAGTGTCCAGAATGTATAATACCGTAGCAAAGTCCTGCAACAAAAAAAAAAAGTCCAAATAACGTTGTGATATGTAGAAATTCAAAAGCATGTAGAAATACCTTGGAAAAAAAGAAACAGAAAAAGATACATAGCGTGATACTGTATCAAAAATTTATTGCCCAACATAAAAATGAGAAAAATCCCCCCCAACTTCAAAACTCTTACATTAGATAAAACATGATACTCATCATAGTAGATTTTGCCGAAAAAGTTATTTCAAAGCCACTCGTATTCTTTCCTTAGAGACAGCTGCTCTCTGGTGCACTCAGGAGGGCTGCCCGTGATGTAGTCTATGGAGTAACGCTTATGGAGTATCACGCTATGTATCTTTTTCTGTTTCTTTTTTTCCAAGGTATTTCTACATGCTTTTGAATTTCTACATATCACAACGTTATTTGGACTTTTTTTTTTTGTTGCAGGACTTTGCTACGGTATTATACATTCTGGACACTTTTTTTCTGTATGATTTTTTCATTTTTGCATATGTATGCACCTTTTTTACTTTTAAGGGGATTATCTACTTAGCGCTGAAATCCATATTTGCATTAGTTATATATCTTGTTATACTATTCAAGTAGTATAATGAACCACAAGATATGTATCTCAATACAAGTGAAGTTAATTAAAATGCTGTCACATATATATTCTTGCTATGTTTATGTGGTTGTTTCATGTTATTATTATTATTAAAGGGACACTATAGTCACCCAGACCACTTCAGCTCAATGAAGTGGTCTGGGTGCCAGGTCCCTCTAGGGTTAACCCTGCCTGCTGTAAACATAGCAGTTTCAGAGAAACTGCTGTGTTTACATTTGGGTTTCTTTGAACACTTTCAATGCACGCGGCAGTGCCGCCCATGGGCATTCCGCTCTGTAGACGTCAGACGGGGGAGCTGACGTCGGCGGGGGAGGAAAGGTAAGGGAGCTCGGCGGTGGAAGAAGGTGAGTAACTGAAGGGGTTTTAACCCCTTCAGCCCATCAGGAGGGGAACCTGAGGGTGGGGGTACCCTCAGGGTACTACAGTGTCAGGAAAACCGATTTGTTTTCCAGACACTATAGTGAATAGTGATCCTTTAAATTGAGTAATTTTTAATCTAAATGTAGTGTCTTTATATTGAGTTTATTTTTATTTTTATATTATTTAGGTCTACAGATCCAATGTCTAGTTCACCACAGAGACAGGGACTCACCACTATGTCTGTAAACTGTATTTAGCAGTGGGAACATGACAACAAAGAATCTCTTTGGACCACTGCAACACTTAGTGATTCTTATAGTCTGGATACTATTTGTCCTTATTTAACCCCTTAAGGACCAAACTAAAGGAGGGAATCATGACATGTCATGTGTCCTTAAGGGGTTAAATGCTATTTTTCCTGGTGCAATTAATAGGCCGATTGATTTTCTACTTCACAACTTAAGGGACCACTATAGTGCCAGCAAAACAAACTCGTTTTCCTGGCACTATAGTGCCCTGAGGGTGCTCCCACCCTCAGGGTTCCACTCCCGCTGTGCTGAAGGGGGAGGAAGGGGTTAGTCCCTTACTGTTTTTCCAGCGCCGCACTTCCTTGGCGTTGGGACTCTCGTCCCTCTTCTGACGTCCCTGGCTGAATGCTTTCCTATGGACTCTGGCATCTTCTCACTGGGAAAATCACAGTGAGAAGCGCGGAAGCGCCTCTAGCGGCTGTCAGTGAGACAGCCACTAGAGGCTGGATTAACCCATAGGTAAAAATAGCAGTTTCTCTGAAACTGCTATGTTTACAGCAAAAAGGGTTAAACCTAGCTGGACCTGGCACCCAGACCACTTCACTGAGCTTAAGTGGTCTGGGTGCCTATAGTGGTCCTTTAAGTCCACCTCATCCTCATTCGTACAATCTACAATTCCAATTATTAAGAATATTTAAAAATAAATGGTATTTAAAAATAAAACAACATGCTGCTAGTACACTGTGTAAAGAAAAATAAACTCGGAGTCATTTATTTACTATAGATCCTTAGAAGTCAGAAAAATGATATAGATACCTAATTGTAGGCATTATAATAATCTGCTATATCTACTTAAACATGCAGTGTCTTCATAATGACATTGTATCCAATAATTGTGTTTCTAAATATAGGCCATCAGTCAACACACTTAATCACTTCTTGTTTAACGAATGTCCTACGTACCAAAACAGGAAAGCGTCATTTTTTATTTTGAAAAAATATTTATTTTGATAGCCTCGTTAATGTTTTTATTTTCAATTAAAATTTATTTTACGGCCCAGTGAATTTTATTTCAAACTACGGTAGAATTTCTAGACTGTTTCTAGTCATGTCAAGTATTGCTGTTAATCTACGTGACAGATCTTTCTCCGTGATTGACAGGTTGTCAGTTATGGGTACATTTACTTTCTCTAGTATAAATCCTACATATGATATGTTTACGTAATTTAAGAAATAAAACCTCACATTTTTTTACTGCTGCAAAGAGAGGGGTAAAAAGACCCTTTTTGGTTGTTCACAAAAAACTTGTGCATTTAGTTTCAAGCCAATTGCAATTTATCTGAAGGACAATTGGTGTGTCATTCGAATAACTGAAGTATCATCTGGATGTATCACGAAAATATGACACAGACAATGAATAGGTGTTCTGCCCATAGCACGAAATAAAAACATGATTGGAGATTAGAGGATGTCCACTAAATCAAATAAATAAATCATTAAATCATAAAGAAATTAACCAGCTGGTCTAAACACTTAAAGGACCTCTATAGTCACCCAGACCACTTCAGCTCAATGAAGTGGTCTGGGTGCCAGGTCCCCCAGGTTTTAAATCTGCAGCTGAAAACATAGCAGTTTCAGAGAATGTTTACATTGCAGGGTTAACCCAGCCTCTAGTGGCTGTCTCCCTGACAGCCGCTAGAGGCACTTCCGCAACGCTCAATGTGAAAATCGGATCCAGCGTGCAGAACATCCATAGGAATGCATTCCTATGGGTGGTTTGAATGCGCACACTGCTCTGACCGTGCATGCACATTCAGCTCACTTTGCTCCCACTCTGGAGCTGACGTTGGAGGGGGAGGAGAGGCACTAGATTAAGGTAAGTGGCTGAAGGGGGGGACGACGACCTAAGGACAATATAGTGCCAGGAAAACTAGTTTGTTTTCCTGGCACTATAGTGGTCCTTTAAAATACGCAACCGAATGCTCAAAAGGAACTATACACTCAAAATCATTGACGAAATGTGACTGAATTTGAACCTTTCTATTTGATTAGAATATGGTTGACAATATTTCGACAGGAATTAACTTCAAGAGAGCAAAAATGAAATAAATACTAGGAATATATTTTGCAGATTGGCTCGTTTTTTTCTCGAATCACTTGCATGGACGATTTTTGGATTAGCGCAGCTG